TGCATCCCTTCTCTTCTGTCTGACCCATTTCACTTCCTCTCATGGATGATGCCCTCCACCACCACGGTTTAATCAGGAATTCATCAGGAAGAGCAATGAGACCTGAGACCCCCATCCCAGGATTCCTTAGAGACAGGGCAGGGTGAGCCCACAGCGCCAGTCCACTGTTCCCAGCTCCTTAACTGTGGTGTCTCTTCTTAAGAGTTCATCAATCCTACAGCTCTTGCCAAGTAGGAAAGCTTCTCATCGATCTTTTTTAGGTAAAACTGGAACTGAGACTCTAGAACACATTCAATAAAGAGAAGAGTTAGAGACAGAAGAGAGGGCTCCATTCCTAAAGAGCCTATGGGTAGATATGAGGGTTGGAGTTCCAATCCCCAAAACCCAGGGAAAAGCCAGGCACCATGGCGGTGCCTGTAATGCTGGAACTGGGGAGATGCAGACATACAGATGCCCTGGAGTTTACTGGCCGGCCAGCCTGGCCAAATTGATGAGTTCCAGCTTCAGTGAGAGACTCAGAAATAAGATGGAGACACCCAGCACTGACCTCCCGCCTCCACACTGGTGCGCACACATGTACATACACCACACTCACACGTATTTAAAAAAAAAAAAAAAAGTTGGGTCAGAGAGAAGGCTCAGCAGGTAAAGGCACTTGTCACCAAGCCTAATGACCTGAGTTCAATCCCCAGAACCCACATGATAAAAAGAAAGAACCTACTTTTGCAAATTGTCTTCTGACCTCCATAATCATGCCATGACCCTCCCATACAAAAAATAAATAAATGTAAATAAGAGTTAGTTTGGAGCCAGGCATGGTGGCGCACGCCTTTAGTCCCAGCACTTGGGAGGCAGAGGCAGGTGATCTCTGTGAGTTTGAGGCCAGCCTGGTCTACATAGGGGAGTTCCAGAACAGCTGGGGCTACAGAAAGACCCTATCTCAAAAAGACCAAAAAAAAAAAAAAAAAAGTTAGTTTGGAAAGATCAAGCTTGGAAGGCCGTCATGAAGAGAGAGAACAAAGTTGTCAGACCTGCCCCACATGTGCATTTATCATCTTTTTAATGATTTCTTTTTATTTTATGTGTATGAGCGTTTTGCCTGCATGTATGTAAGTGCACTATGTACATGCAATACCCACAGAGGTCAGAAGAGGACGTTGGATCCTCTGGAACTGGAGTTATGGACAGTTACTAGATGCCACGTGGATGCTGGGAATGGCAATCAGTGCTCTTAACCTCTGAGTGAGACATCTTTCTCTTTCCAGACCCCTGTTTATTTATTTTTGGGGTGTGTGTGTGTGTGTTACTGGGGAACCAAAACCCAAGCCTCTTGCATGCTAAGCACATGCTCTGCCACTGAGTCACACCCCAAGTCCTCTACCTATATATTTTCGATTCCTTGGAAAGCCTTCCATTCCATTAGTTTCAAGCACCTTCTCTTCATCCAAGCTTAAGCTTATAAACTGCCAAAATCCAGGGCTAACAGACTGAAGGGGGCGCTACCCTTACATGTTGGTTTCCCATGTGATGCTCAGTGGCCCTTATTTTAGAGCATCTAGGTGTTTCCTAAGAAACGGCTCCCGCTGAGAGTGCCGGATACTGCCTCCACGTGGTGATAAGAATTATGCAATTTGGGAGTCTTTTAGATAGACCCACTGAAGGGGTTTCCCCAGTTGCCTCACCCTGAGTCCCTGTTCAGCATGGAAGAAGCCAGAGCAGCCTGCATCCTGATTCCCTATCCGCAAGTTGGGTAACCTCTTCAGAGGATGGTGTGATAAGAATAGGAGGTAGGAATTGGCTAGGCAGTTATTGTAAAAAGACCCCAAAGAAAAGTAACCAGTTTCTTGGCTAAAAGTAAAAATGTGTTTGAGCCTCTTAACAACATACTGTATTCCAAAGTCCAAAACCATTCAAAACATTTGGGAGTTCTTATCTAATCCTTAAAAGATTTTAGGGCCACCTTTTCAGAAGGGGGAATGTTAGAGTAACAAAAAGCCTTTAATCCCAGCACCTCGGGAGGCAGAGGCAGGCAGATCTCTGTGAGTTGCAGGCCAGCCTGGTCTACATAGTGAGTTCCAGGACATGGAGGGGAGGGAGTGGGCATGGATTTGATCAAAACACCTTATATGCTTATATGCCTGTATGAAATTCTAAATACATTATTTAAAAATAAAATAAAATGTGAAAAAAAAGAATAAGAAATGGCTCCAAATGTACCACACTGACCGTTGTCCTGTCTTTGCAACTACCTTGGTTTCTCAGGTATTACTGGTTGACACGATCAGTTCATGTGATATACGACCATATCATAAAATGCTGTGATCTGCTAATATGATCAGTTGGGGTGGAATCCTACAGAACTGTGCAATATCCTGGGCCATCCAACATGGCTGACAGGAGCCAATCACAGCTATGTAGAAACCTGGGTCTGAAGGAACAGCATGATGAGCATGTGCATGAATGTGTGTATTTGTGTGTTGTTTGGGTTTTTTGTTTGTTTGTTTTGATTTTTATTCTCCAAGATTTTTTTTTTTTTTCTGGTCTTTCTGAGACAGGATCTCTGCAGCTGGCCTGGAACTCACTATGTAGACCAGGCTGGCCTCGAACTCACAGAGATCCATCTACTTCTGCCTCCCCAGTGCTGGGATTAAAGGTGTGTACCATCACACCAGGCTGACCTGCTTTTATTTTGTTTTAACGTGTATGAATGTTTTCTCTGCACATACGTGTGTACCATATCACACAATGCCCAAGGAGGCCAAAAGAGGGCATCAGATCCCCTGAAACTGTAGTTATGGACAGTTATTAGCAGCCATATGGGTGCTGGGAATCAAACCTGGGGGTCTTCTACAAGAGCAGCCAGTGCTCTTAGCCACTGAGCCATCTCTCTAGCCCCTTGCCCCCACCTTTTTTTTTTTTTTTTTTTTTTTTTTTTTTTTTAGTAAATACCTCTCAAAACTATGTGGACCAGGCTGACCTTGAACTCACAGAGATTCCACCTGCCTTAGCCTCCCAAATCCTGGGATTATCAGTTAATTTTTTTTTTAATAAAAGAGTTTAAACTTGAGGCTATGACTGCTGAGGGAGGGAGAGTCCGTTCCCTTCAGGGGTGTGACCTCTGGTAGGTTGCCCATGCCCCAGTGGATGGCCCTACACCCACAAACATATAGGCAGCACCAATTAGACTCAGTGATTATTAAAATAAACAAATAAATAAATAAGGACAGGACAGGAAGTTGGGAGGGTTATAGTAGGCAAGAGTTCAGGAAAAGTAGGAGGGAAGGAGTGAGGGGGATGATCAAAATATATGCATGTATGAAATTCTCAAAGAATAAATACATTTTTAAAATATTTAAATTTTACAAATTAAAGTAAATAAAGTTTTGAAAGATGTATATAAAGTTGGGGTGATATTGAGTATGTAACATTGACTAGATTGAGTCTATTGTATTAGTAGATATAAAAGTATTGAAATGGGGGCTGGAGAGATGGCTCAGTGGTTAAGAGCGCCCTTGCAGAGGACCCAGGTTCAGTTCCCAGCACTCCCATGGTGGCTAACAGCCATCCATAACTCCAGTTCCAGGGGACCCCACATTCACCTCTGCCTCTGCTGGCATTGCACACATGTGGTGCGTTTACATACGTGCAGGCAAAACACTCACATACATCAAATAAAAGGTAATTTTTTAAACTACTGAAATGATTAATAGAAATAGATGAAAAACAAGGACTATTAACGTTTACCACAACTTCACACAAAAACTAACAAAATAATATTTTCGTTCCTGCAACCATAAAGATGGGGTGATTTAACATCACAGTTGGACCTGACCCATGGATACAGTGGCCAGTGGATGCTGGACAGCTCTACTTCCACCAGCTGGGGACCAGTCCTTGGTCCCCAAAGAGACATAGTAAATAGTAGGTGGTCCAGCTACCTCCATCTTGAGAGGATGTACCAGAGGAGTGGGGCGTGGACTTGTAAAACAGGGACACAAGGGCAGGTGGGAAATAATCTCATGGACTGAAGAAATCCAACTTGAGCCTCTGTGCAGGGCACCATCGTCCCCATTTGCTTCTACCATCTCTAGTCAAGATCAGGTAGGTGATTGGTGATTCCTCCTGTGGTACGACTAAATAATCCCTTGTCACCTATCATAACAACAACCTGCTCTTACTAGACAATAGACAAAGACAACCTTTGTAATGTTATTTTGTAATCTCTCCACCTTGTAAAAACTTTGGTTTATATAAAGGCCCGGCTGCATTCCCAAAACTATGGATATCCCTGTTCCTCCTTCCCTTCATTTCCTTTGTACCGGTTCTTTTAAAACTAGCCTGGTGCGTGGTAGCACACTTTGATCCCTATACTCAGGAGGCAGAGACAGGCAAATCTCTGGGAACTCCAGGCCAGCCTAGTCTACACAGCTAGTTCCAGGCCAGCCAGGGTTACATCGTGAGACCCTATCTCCAAAAAATAAAAAAATATATAAATAAATAAAATAAACTAGCCAACCAAGAAAGACTGTAGGTTGGACTGCAGCCAATGGGGAAAAGACTCAGTACTCTTGTGTTAGGATAAAATCCTATCAAATTTCTTGCTCTGTGTGCTTGCTTGCTACTAAAATGAGGCAACATGCCCTTTTGCAAAAGTAAAAACTGTGTTGCTGAGTTACCTTCTCTTTGTCTGCATATTCTTTGGGCTGTATCAATGGGGTCTTTGGACCCCAAGTTTTATTTCCAACATCCTACTGTATCCAGTACAAATCAGGTAGGTGACTCGTCATTCTCCATTCCCCACACAGGTACCATTACATGAGGTGGAAGAAACAAGGTTTCCATCTGCCCCAGCCCTATCCACGCTGGCCCAGGTGAACATCCTTCCTTGAAATTGCACTCCGTATTTCACTACTGCCAGAAGAGACCAGCCATCCAAAAAGCAAAGGAAAGGGGTCCACAAATCACATAGCACAAAAGAAAAAAAAAGGCGAGAGCTGGCGTCACTCACGCTTATTAGGAAAGTACAGGAAGTTGGCTTCCACGACCCTCTGGTGGAGGGGCTGAGTCTTGCGGTAACCATTATGGAGGGTCTCGTTGTTGTGATTCTTTACAGAGTTCTCTATTTTCAAAACCTGCAGGCAACAGAAGATGAATTATGGAGGAGAAAAGGCAACGAAAAGTTTAACAGAGTTTAATTAGTGATTGGACAGAGCTTGGATTTGTACAATGCTGATGAAGCATTTGGGAGAAAATCACATCCAGCGGCTTTCAGAGCTAAGTGCCACCTTCCCCCAGAACTCAGCCATCCATCCATCCATCTGTCCAAGTATCTCCACACACTCTCTTCTGACCTTTATATATGAGTATTTGGTTAACATTTTAAAAAGTAAGTAAACAGAAATATAAAGTTATGTAAGCTCAATTTTTGTTTCTTTAAAAATATTTTTTGCCTACATCCTTGAAAAGCAATTTTGCAAGTGCAAGTCTGGGTTATCAAATCATTGCCCTCACTTTGAGAGCTGGATTCCCCTTGTTGAATTAACTCTTCATCTAATGACATTCTTTTTATAACCACTGCTTCTCTCTGGTTGAGTTTTGGGGAGTTGTGGGTTTTTGGTTTTTTTTTTTTTTTGGTCAAAGGAAAGAGAAAATAGAGTTTGACTCAGGCCATTGTAGTTTGGGAT